ATAAGATTATGTCTAAAAATTAAACTTAAAAAACAGAACATATTAAAGAATTTTGTAAGTGTTCTGATATAGTGCTATATGAAAATATGTAGATAAATAAATAATGTAATTAGAAAAAAAATGCTGTTAAAAAATAAATTACAAATAAATAAATTACGAATCATCAGGTGAATGGGGACTGGGAAACTCTATAAATAATAATAATTTGAAAATTTTTAAATTTTCCTTGAAATTAAGTTCAGTATAGGGCTCAATTAAGTAAACAATCTTGATAGATTGCTTATTTTTTTGAGCATTCGAAGTCTGATATTAAATTTGCATGGTATTATACATTAATATATTTACATTATCAAAATTAAAATGGTAACTTTTTTATAGAATAAGAATAGTTTTTATATACAAGAGAGTATCACAGTTGCTAGTACAACAAAGCAAAAAATAAACATTTCCACACAGTATGCCTAGATATATAACTAACTTAAAGCTAATTAAAATTTTTTATAAAAAATTTATGTTAAAATGGTGTTTATACATCTAATTGTGCCTTTAATGGCCAAATACTAAAATTATACTAGAGTAAAGGAAAACTATTCCACAATTTATGCCAAAAAAAAAAAAAAAAAATGTTAAAAAAAACAATATAACACAAAAAAAAACAAAAAAATACCAAAAAATACCAAAAAATGTCAAAAAAAAAACAACAAAAAAACGCCAAAGGAAAAAAACGTGTTTTTTTGCAACTCTATGAATGTGACAACTAAATGGGATTATCAATAGAGAGATTTTTGTTAAAACAACCTTTTTTACCCTTTTTATCTAGACATTTTTTTTTTAATAGCAACACCTTCCTTTCACCCTATCGAAATCCAACTGAAAACTTAAAACTATTGCATAAGAATTTACATGAAGATCTTTCTCTTTCTCTTAGAAGGCGATATCTTTTATGGATAACCCCAAATAACAATGAAAATGATCTAATGTATTTATATTTTACTAATCACTTAAAGGTCACTAATATAAAATAAATTATTTGTAATCACTATCGTCAGGCTAAAATTAATTTAAAATGAAAAAAAATTTATTTTATTTGGTTTTGCATTTCTACTTTTTATTAACAGTTTCAGTTATAAAGGTTAAAAAGAAAAAGGTTAAAAGTTAAACAAATTTTGATGTTTTATACACTTGTCAAATAAGGAGTTTCAAAAAACCCATTGTTATTCAAGCTGTCTCAAAATCTTTAATAAGTTCCCCTCTGGCCACTGCCCCTCCTCCTTTAAAAACTCAAAAAACTCAAGTCAAATTTGACTTTTTTTTACTTAATATTTAAAAATAGATTTATGTCCAATAACAAATTTCGAAATTTAACAAAAATATGTTAAAAATATCAACACAACATATTTTTGTTAAAATTCAAAATTTGTTGTGTTGAAAATTTATGACATTTTATTGTTAATAATTTCCCCTTTTACCCCATTTCGGTCATTTATTTTGAAGTAATGAAAAAAAAAATTTCTATAGTATATCTTAAAATTTCTTTGGACATCTGAAAAAAATATTTAAATTTTTAATTTCAAAAAAAAAAATTACTACACCCTATTACCCAGCCAGCACAAACACATGTTTTTAGAATCTAAAATGTTAATACCTTTAGACATCTAAATTCAGATAACTATTAGACATCTTTTTTTGAATAATGTGATATTGCTGGCCAAAACAGACATCTACTTTTGTGTGATTATATAAAAAGTAGAGCTGATTAAAATCACAATTCAGATATTTTATGGTCTGTCACTAAACATTTATTATATAAAGTTATAAAGCTTTTAAAACCACAAAATTGTGAAATAATGTTTATAATTACAATTTGGATAAGAAATGGTAACAAATGATTTAAAAACAACATTATCTCACAAAATGTTCTAGAACCGTGTAACTTTCAGCCTTTTTTTTTTGATAAATAATGGTTGCTCATTCAATAAACAATGGTTGCTCATTCAATAAAAACTTTTGTGGTTTTTTTTTTAATAAGTAAATCTCTTTTAGATGTTCATTCATTTTTTCTATTCACAGTTATTATTTCTACACAATAAATGATAGATGTGTAAAAAAATTTAGCAATAAATTTTTTTAACCTGTTACAAATGCGCAAATATGCTCAAATTTTACATTTGATTTTAATTACAAAAAAGTAAACCCTTTTCTTATTTTTTTTTTAAACTAATGAATTTAAATAAAATTAAGTGGGTATTTTTTCTACATGTTAATTTGGCAAAAACTTCGCTAAACTATTTTGCATTTATGACATTTTCATATAACTGAAATTTTAAAATTAAAACTATTGTTTTTGATATTGATATTGGTTTCATATTTAACCAATACCATGTTTCAAAGAAAAAACTTTAATAAAATAAACGAAGCAAAATATTGGTTAAATATTTATTGACACTATTTCAAATAAATAATTTACTATGAATGCTTAAATAATATCTGAACAGTTTAAATACAAGATAATGAACTATGTAAAAAAAAAATTAAAAAAAAAAAAAAAATTAAACATAATTAGAATAGTATAAAAAACAATTAAAAAATTTATGCATAAACATTTTATATTGATTTTTTAGATTAGATCCCGTTAACTCGGACTCTGAACGGGTATATATATTTTGTCCAACTTAGCGAATGTCTGAGTTAAGCGAAGCTTTTGGTATCTAAAGAGAATTCAAGGGGAATTGAAAATTTGTCCAACTTAGTAAAAGTCTGACTTATCTAGGGTCCAAGTTAACGAGATTCTACTGTATGTATATGTATGTATATGTATGTATATGTATATATATATATATATATATATATATATATATATATATATATATATATATATATATATATATTCTACTCTTATAATAAAGACATTGTTAAAATAAAAAGATAAAAACAGATTTTATTGTGGGAGTTGTCTTATATATTACTATAAAAATATGGATTTTAGACTATTGATGCTTAGAATAACTATTTACATCATGTAGCAAAGTATCATCAATGGTTATGAAATATTTTAAACTGATGACCTTGAGGAACTGATAGTTCAACAGCAAACAATTTTTTATAAGTACCAAAAATAATGATAACTGAGTGTTGCTTTGGATTTAACAAGAAACATGTCACCAAACCAATTAGTAAAAGCAAAAAACAAACATAACTTAAAAAATAACAATTAAACAATATTCCTTAAAAGAAACCATTACATCTTATAAATAGCTTAGCCCTGGTTTAATTAGAAGAAAACATATATTATGGTGAAGAAAAAAAAAGAGAAGCCATATACAAAATAAATGATATTAGATTGCTAAATTTTGAAAAATTAAATAACCTCTAACAGAAATCTGGTGCGAAACCATAATTAAAGTCAAAAGAATAATCAATGTATATACGCAGGCTTGGTCAGGAAAGCATGTTATTTCACGGCTTTATATGACCACACAAATAAGATTTTGTTTTGATGATTTGACCACAGTTTTAACATTTTAATAAAGCGCTGAAAACTCAACTTAGTTATAAAGAAATTAAAAAAAAAAAAACTTATTTTAAAAAAGAGTATATTAACTTTAATTGATCATTTTTTTATTTAAAGAAGAAAGAAAAATACATTAATACTTTTAGGTAAAAAAATCGTTAAAATAAAGTATTATTTGCATAGTCATATAATGGCGTGCGATCGCACGCCTTTCTGACCAAGCCTGTATATACGGACTACATTACTTTAACTGCCAAATAAACATTGTAAATAATAAACTTATAACAGTTTCTTCTCCACTATTTTACTCGAAACATTTTTCAAATTTCCCAATAACGAGTAATTTTATCGAACATTAGGTGTTTCCCTTCCTTCCCATTGTTTTCTAAATCTAAATGTTTTCAATGACCCCTTCCCATCTTCATCATTAATTACAAAATCATGACACTCCTGCAAAAATTTAAAACATTTAAGCAACAAAAAAAAAAAGCCTCCCTTGACCCTCAAAACTTTAACTTGGGACCCTAAATTTCATTTCTTCCCTCCCCCCCCCCTCCTTTTTAGGCAAATAAAAATTATACATGAAAACAATAAACTTTTTCTTAACTATATCTTTACCAATATGTAATAGAGTATAAGCCTAGTATACTGATAATCTAATAAAAGTGTTGTTTTTTTTTGCGTTCATAGCTGCAAATTAGAATATATTATTTTTTAAATTTGAGCTGCTGATTCTGCTTCAATAGTTAAGTGCAGAAAAACATTCATGTCATGTCTTTAAACATGTTTTAATTCTTTATAATGTGCTCAAAGTTCTATTTGTAGTTGTTATGGTAACAGGTATTGTAAAATAACATATGCTTTAAGTTCTTTTTGTAGTTGCCACGGTAACAGGTATTGTAAAATATAACATAAGTGCTGTGATTATATTAGTGAATGATCAATTTATATCAAAATATGTTATTATGGACACAGGTAAAATGCAGAAATTTTCAACATAAAAGTGTGGAAAATTTCTCTCAACTTTAACCCTAACAAACCCTTTGCTACACTACTTCTTTAAGTGTTTTTGACTGTGATACTGCTTTAACATGACATTTACTAATCATTTTTGAAATTTCAATTTCTTTTTTTTCCTTAATTATTTAAAAGCAAATATAAAGGACCGATGTGATTGAAATCAAAAAAATTAATGATAACACCTTGTAAATATTCACTAACTTATATACTACTTATGTTGGATGCATTTGTACATATTTGGTAACTCCCTCCCTATTCCTGTGTACATACTTTATTGATGTTCCCAACTAAACTATAGGTAAATTAAGATAAATGAAACTGATAATTAAACTTTATATCATTTACAATCTTATATAAAAGCTATTTGTATTTTATTAACAATATAAATCATAAATATTATATTATTCTAATATTAATATTATAGATAATTATTTTTTATTTATGTAAACGAATAAATCAATGTTAAAACCTTTTTATTTCTATAAACAGTACTTGTGTTTTCAATTAATTCACTAGAGACCTCATGTTGGCTTGATACTGTAATAGGACTTGTAAAGCTTGGTGAAGTTTGAAGTCTTTGACCCAGTGAATCTTGACTATGGCTATTTTGACTTGTAAAAGATGTATTTATATCATCACTTTCATCATTGATGTTATCACTATGTACAAGTGTGGAGTTGTTGTCATCAAAACTATTTAAATCAAGTGATGGACTTGATATATTTGAATTTTGAGAAAAACTTTCATTAGATGTCAATCCAGGCATATTTTTTTAATAAATCTGAATTAATAAAAAGAAAAACAAAAGTTCTTTAAATATTCATATTCTGTTATTATATACTTTATTCAAAATTCATGCATATATATATATATATATATATATATATATATATGTGTGTGTGTGTGTGTGTGTGTGTGTGTGTGTGTGTGTGTGTGTGTGTGTGTGTGTGTGTGTGTGTGTGTGTGTGTGTGTGTGTGTGTGTGTGTGTGTGTGTGTACACACACACACACACACACACACATAAAATAAAAAAACAAAATTTTCACTGTAATGTCTTTCATATGTTGATTGCTACTGCCCAAACTCTAGGTTGATATATACTGAAGACTTCACAGGTGGCTGTTTTAGTTTTATGTCATGAGTGATGATAATGATGATTCATATAACCAAATACAACACTAAAATTATTTATTTAGTTTTTTAACAAATGTCATAATTTTTGATCATAAAGTTTTACTTTTATTTGGTTGTATTTTATAAAATTATTCAGATGTTAGTTTCAAACTTTACGAAATTCAGTCAAATTATTTAATCAGAGACTATTCTAGACCCTTTTTAACAGTGTTGAACTTATTTGGGCAAGTTGTTTTTTTTAACATATATTGTTTCCACCAAATATATTTATGGCACACACCGGCACAAAAGTATTGTCATCCAAATTGTTTACCTGGAATAGCCCCTAATAATAATTTTCTTATGCATAAGAAAAAAATAAGAATAAGTTTTTTTAAAAACAGGTATCAGGAAGTTTTTGATACCATTCTTATGCTTTTAGCATATAACCATAGCATAAGAAAAAGGTTTTTTTTTAACACTTTTAGTCTAAGTCTTTTTAAAGCAAAAAGAAAAAAATAATATCAAATCTTATTTATAACAAAAAAAAACTAATCCAAATTTGAAAACCTGCTATAATAAAACTTATTTATTTAGTGTTAAGCATTAAAATGCAAAAATATGCTTTAAAATGAATTTTCAAATACTTTAGTTCATTTGAGTTTTCAATATATTTCGAATAAAACTGTAATTATAAAAACCGAGTTTTAATTATACTTTAAATATATTTATAAAAAATATTGATTTTGAATAAAATAACCTAAAAGTTGCAAATGCTTAACTGCAACTAAAAAACACAAAAGCTAATATTGACTCTTCTTGACATTTAAAAAAAATAACAATAATTGTTAACATAAAATGTAACTTATAATTTAAAAAAGCAATCAACTCTTTTAAATAAATAATACAAATATTGTATGCTTTTAAAAAATAAATTATACTATACTTAAAGAAATAAAATATAAATTTTGTAAGCTAATTTTTTTGTGATATAACAAATACAATAAAAAGATTTAAAACATTTTAAAAACAACAAAGTAACCAAAAAAAAAAGACACAAAAAAAGAAAAATCACAGATAGTAAAAATTATTTTAAAAAAGTATTAAATTAAAAATAATGAAACTTATTTTTAAGTTGTGAAAACTTTTTTAACACTAAATCATTTCTATTTTCAGTGAAGAATGTTTCAAAATATAAATAAAAAATAAATAAACTAGAAAGATAATTATAAAATGGTAACAAGTATAGATTTATATCTAATATTGCTTCTATTAATAAAGCACTACAAATTAAAAAATGATTTTAATTTCCTGTTGTTTCAATATATCAATATCACAAAAAGTATATTTCTTTTTAAATTCTATTGAAATTCCTAATTTTCAATTTCATCGTCTTCTTCGTCATCACTGCTAAAATCTTCAGAATTATCTTCATCATCTTCATCTTCAATATCTTCATCATCTTCTTCATCATCATCACTAAACCCTTCTTCAGTAAAAATTCTCACTCTAGCTTTCTCATCATGTGCATATTCATCAAAAATATCTTTTATTAATATATTTGTCTCTGTTTCCCAATCCAACAAAATTTTATTTAATATTGGTCGATAGCCTCCTTCTCTTCCACTTTTACATGCAATACCTAGAGTATCATCAGTTTGAGCAAGGAGCTTTTCCCATCCACTGCTATAATCATTAAACCATTTACGGAACAAATCAAAATTTGTGTAAAACTCATTATCTGCTAACCAATCAGTTTCTTGCATAGCAAATAAGTGTAAACCCAAAAACAGCGCAAATGCTTTTTTCCATTCTTTTTCTTCAATAAGCGAAATTCCTTTTTTGACATCTGGAACCATAACATTATTCCAAATGTGAGTCCCACATGAAGTACTTCCATTTTTCCATCCATAGATTATCTTTAACGAGTCATCACGCTTTTTCATAACACTCCTACATAAATCTTTGTCAAGCAAAAAGTGATCCATAGAAAGTATGAATTCTTTTGTTATTTTCGAAGAATCTAATTGTGATGGAATATTCTCAATTAAAAGAATTTCTTTACCACTAGCTGATTCAATTTCTTGTACTACTTCTCTCCATTTCGCATCAAAAGACCCATTACTTCCACCACCCTCAAATTTTGATTTTTTGGTGGGTAACTCACTATCACTCATCCTTGATTAGAACCTTAAAACAAATCGTAAAAATATTAGATCACTAATAAATAAATATATGTGTGCGTCTGTGTGTATATATATATATATATATATATATATATATATATATATATATATATATATATATATATATATATATATATATACATGCAGCTATATAATTGTTACTAAAACACTGGTTAATTCGATCTTATACTTAAACTTATAGTCTTAAACTGGTCCCTTGAAAGCAGGAGTAGTTGTTTTAACTCACTACTACTTATGTCAAGCATTTTTTTTTTAATTTTTTATTTTAATTCACCTCCTCAAGGCCGAGAAGGCCACTACAGACGAGGAGGCTACTTATTTGTGGTTATAACCCTCTCTCAACTCTATAACTCCGAAACACGAACCTTGACGAGCAAGGCCACTGCGCGGAGAAACGAGTTGAGCGCGGTACTACCAGGGACGTGGTGGGGATCGAACTCGGAACCACTCGTTTATGAAGCGAGCGCTCTACCACTGCACCACTACCGCATGATTTATAAAGTTAAACTATTTTTCTTGGTCCTTTTTGGTTTGAGTTGCCAAAATTTAATTATAACTGTAAATATATACCGTCAGATGGGGTAATATGGCCGCTGTAGGGTAATATGGCTATATTTATCAGTTTTTTGCTCAAGTCTGCTAAATTTTCAAGAGGCAGTGTCCCATTCTACATGACATTTAACCTGACATTTTAATATCTGTTACAAAAAAATTAAAATAATAATACTCTAGTTGTGGAGTGTTTTTTGCATGTTTTTGTCTTTTCAGATTTTAAAAACACTAACTACTGCCAAGCAAACATTTGAGGGTCAATTGGGCAAAAAATTTTAATCATTAAAAGCTCAAAGCTCATTTACCTTAAGGTATATGAGCTTTGAGCTTTACCTGAGACCTACAAAGTTTCCAGATCAACTCTTAGAAATTATGTGTGACAAGACAAAAAATATGCGGACACCTTGTTAAACTGTTATTCCTGCTGAGTGAGCTTGTCATTACTCAAAATTGAGCAATGACAAAGCACTTCATCAGCAGGATGAAGAGCTTTGGGATCTGGCTGTGTTAAAACACTTAATCAAAAGTATTCTTCACAAACAAAAGTGAACTTTGGCAAGATTAGGCTTACAGATTTTTGAAAAGGCACCACAATCTATTTTTACAGAGAATTGTTCAGAACATTTTAAAGAACCATGCATTTGTAAGTGAAAAACAGTTTTTTTTTTCCAACCATCTGCACAACCTGATCAAGAACATTGTCCTTCTAATGTAATATAAACTATGATAAGACTAATATCAGCAAAAATCCTGGATCTAAGAAAATAATTTACAGAAAGGCCACAAGACATCCAGTTACCATTATAAAGATTGAAATGCTTTTTGCAATTTGTGAGGAATTTAAATATCTAATTTTAGAATTAGAAACATACTTGCTTTAATTTCATAAAAACGGATTAAATTGTTTTGTTGTTTAAATTTGTTTTTTTTGTTAAGTAGCCTAACTACTATTTTGATTTTTCAAAAATGATTTTTATTAATAAACTTTAGTTAAAGTTTTAAAGCTACATTGCTGATTTTTACATATGTGCATCTTGAGTAATTCTTGAATAAAGTTCACAAATTTATAGATTTTATTAATTAATTTTGCATTTTATTTAATAATCTAGTTTTTAGATTTGCAACTTTTATTAAACATATATTGCAATTTTTTGTTGTTTAAATTAGATTTTTTTTGTTAAGTGGGCAAATCATCTCATTTTTGCATTTTTCAAAAAAAAATTTATTAATAAGTTGTGTTTAAAGTTTTCAAGCTACACAGCTGATTTTCAAATATGTGCATCTTGTAGGAGTAATTCTTGAATAAAATCTACAAGTTTATAGCTCTTGTATTTAGCAAATTATTGAAAAAAAAAACATTATTATCAAAATATGGCCATATTAACCCATGTGATGGTATATAAACAGAGGGGTTGGCAGAAATGGCAAAAATATCAAAAAACTTCTTGCGCATTTCAAATATTAATTTAATAAGTATTACATAATTATGCAATAATAAAAAAAGCAAAAAGACCTTCATTCATTATTACAATGTAATAATGAATAAAATTTCAAAAACATAATTTATGTTTTTTAGAGCGTCTTAAAGATAAAAAAGTTTGTTGTTAAAGATTTTTTGGAGCTACTTGATTTTCTCCCCACACCCCCTGTTTTTATTATTGATTATGATAAAATATATTATACTGATTCAGAATCAACTAATTACATAGGTCTGAAAACTTGTAGAAAGTACTCTAATTTGATGTTAAAGATTAAAAAATTACACTAGAAATGCTATATTCTACCATCTTTTTAAAAAACATTTTAACACTATTTTCAGTGCTAAAATGACGACAGTAAAAACCGCAACCCGGTTTTTATCGTCTTCAAAATTTAAACATTTTAAAATTTAATTCACATTTTAAAATGTACGTACACATAGACTGACAAAATAGGGATTGGTATAATTAAATGTACATGGTTTGGGTCAGGGTTAGGGTCAGAGATCAATCAGAAATGCGTTTTGCATTAAGGTATTGATAGAAACCAGGCTTTTTAAAGTTTTTATTGAAAAGGAATTTATTTATAACCAAGTATAAAAAAGATGGGGAATATTAGCGTTTTTCTCAGGTTTTCAGTGCTATGTTTTTATATAATTTTGAATGTATTCTATCATATTCAATCATAAAAACATTTTTTTTTTAATGTTTTGAC